CTCTCCCTCCGTTCACTGCTGCTGCTTCTTTGCTTCTGTCTCTTGAAAACTTCCTGAATCCTCTCATTCCTCTGTATTTCCAGTGGTATAACCCAGTGCTGGGGCTATTTGAACAGCCTCTTCACTGGTCCCTTCCTCTGCCCTTTGCCCCTCCAAGCTGTGCTCTGTAGCGCAGCCTCTCTGGTTTTTCTGAAGCAAGTAGAAGTCCGTGTGCTGTTAAAATTCCCACAGTGGTTTCCCGTGCCCTTCAGGATAGGCTGGGAACTTGAAGTGAGTCCACCAGACTTCACACCTGCTTTCTGTCTACATCTGCAGACTCCTCTCTCTCTCTCTCCCTCTCTCTCTGCTGTCTGGCTTGTGTTTTATTTTCTAGCCATATGGAACTTGTTTTGGTTTCCTGAAGTTATTGTCATCTTTGCATACGCTTCCCTCTTTATAAAGAATACCACACCCTTCCCAGGCAAGGCTGGTACTGTGGCCTGTCCACAAAGTACTCTTCTTCTCAGAAGCATTGCCAGAACTCTCTGGGCCAGGGAAGATGTGCCTAGTGTGTGGTCCCCTGTGCCACAGCATCTTCCACTTTGCATCTGTTTACCACTCTTTTACCATTACTAGCATGGTATCCGGCACATAGAAAATGCTCAGCAAACATTTAGTGAATTGATAGATTAGTAAAACCAAGAATGGATCAGATGATAAAGATTTTTGCAATATTACCTTGAGGCTGATAAGAGAGGATGGGACATAGTAAACTGCAGGCTTAGAGCTGAATTCTAAATATGCTGGAAAGGAAGGGATATGCATAATAGTGATGACATGTGCCCTGTCGCAAGATTTGGTACCTGTGTGCTAGGTGAGGGTTTAGGGAATACACATTCAGCTATGCCAAGCCCAGTAAGTTAAATTAGTTAAAGCCTTTTATTTTTAAATGTCCAAAGTTTATTCCGTATCTCTAGGAGGCAAGGAGTCAACAACTCTTGAGTTGTTAAATCGGAAAAAGTTGGGCAGCCCGGGTGGCTCAGCGGTTTGGCTCTGCCTTCAGCCCAGGTCATGATCCTGGGGGCCCAGCATTGAGTCCCGTGTCAGGCTCCCTGCGTGGAGCCTGCTTCTCCCTCTGCCTGTGTCTCTGCCTCTCTCTCTCTCTCTCTCTCTCTTTGGCCTCTCATGAATAAATAAATAAAATCTTTAAAAAAAAGTTTAAACATTTACATAAATGAATTTTTAAAAATCTTACAGAAAACTTTTGAGGAAGAAGATTCAGAATTCAAGGAGCTGGGATTGTAAATGAGAAATCACACGGCACAATTCCCATGGCCATTAAAGGAACTGTGAAATTCTCCGAGCAGTCTGTCCCTCTAACCTCATGTGGTTCCTGTTCTGCATTTCTTGTTCTGAAATGAGAAATTCTGTCACTGTAGTTCTTAGCATAATAATTCCTTAGGGTTTAGAAGAGAATACTATATTTATGACTGAGGTAGGACATATACAATTTCTAGAAATACTGTCAATGCAGTATTATCCCTTTGTTTCTTCCTAATCTAGAGAGTTCAAGTTTTATGAGCCCTCCTGATTAGTTAGTTCAGTGTTTCTCCACGAGGACTGAAATAATTTCTGTATCACTAGGTTAGGAAGTTTGTTTTCTAGGAGATAGACTTTTAAGATCAGTGTTAATTCTGGGGCGCCAGTGTGGCTCAGTTAGTTGAGCATCTGACTCTTGGTTTCAACTCATCTCGGGTCATGATTTTGGGGTCCTGTGATTGAGCCCCATGTGGGGCTTTGTACTCAGCAAGGAGTCTGCTTCAGCATTTTCTTCCTCTCCCTCGCACCACCCCCTGCGCACACAGTCATTCTCTCTAAAATAAATAAATTAAAATCTTAAAAAAAAATTAAAAAGATCAGTGTGTTCTTTCTGTAGGCTTCTACAACCGCCCCCTGTCGCTGTCCCCCTCCCCCTTCCACACACACACTCACATACCCCGCCATCACCACCCTAAACATCTAGAAAAGGTAGACTGTTGAGTTGGAAAACTGTTAGTAACTGTTTTCTCAGCTTGCTTCACTTTGTTTTCTTTTTTTTTTCTGGGTCCTTTTGGAGGCTTTCTTGGCCTGGGGGCAGAATTGAATAGTAGGTATGAATTTCAAGGTGACAGCTAATCTTACTTGTCAACAGAGAGCAGTCACCAGGCCAACCACAGTCTTAATCTCATTTCATGCATCTCTGCCCCGAGGCAGAAGTTTTCATTCATAATTTAGAGAAATTGAATAGAGATCCCAACTTACAAGTATCTTAGAAATGTGAAAAGATTTCAAAGGATGAATTTAAAAACCTGTTGTGTATTGGATAATGCTTTTTAATATCAGCCAGTTTTTGGTTACTGGTTTTAAAGATTTTCCACGGCTTCTCACAGCTCATAGCCAACTTTGTACACAAACGAAGGAACACAAATTTAGGTGAGACTATGAAAAATAGATAAATAAGTAGACAGCTAGGGCAATGGTTTGGGGGCGTGGGGGCATGATTTTTGCTTCCCTCAGGAGATATTTGTCAATGTCTGGAGACTTTCTGATTGTTACAGCTCCAGCAATTGGAGGCAGGGATGCTGCCAAACATCTTATAATGCACAAAAATGTTGATGGCGCTGCTGTTCAGAAACCCTGATTTGATGTACAGATAGATGGTAACACATATAAGTCCTGTGTGTATATACATCTTCCTTTTCTTTTCTTTTTTTTTTTTTTACATCTTCCTTTTCTTTTCTTTTTTTAAATCTTCCTTTGGGAGGATTTCTTTCAGAGTGTAAAAATATTTAAGGAAACAAAATTCACTCCAATTCTCTTGCCTATCAGCATATATTCAACATGGTAGGTTTGGCCATGTTCACATGTACACCCTTTCAAAACAATAGGAAGGGTTATCCAGTCTTCAGAGCTGTTTTTTTGGAAGTAGAGCTGTGCTAATTGGAGGCATGCGTCAGAGGTACAGAGGCAGCCTTGAGATAAAGCAGTGTCCTTGAACGTAATCTCTTCTCTAACATTGTACCTGTGCTCTTTTGATTCTGAAGTACTTCTGACATTGTGCTAAAGGTTTAGTCTTTAATTTGCCTGTGCTTCACCCAGCTAAACCTGCCTAATAGTGTTACATGAAAATTGAGAAGACAAAGGAATAAGGCAAAAAGGGGTAAGAGAGGTGGCATGAGTGTGGAATTGCACCTGAAGGACAGATTATTTGCTTTCTATATTTTTAGATGATTTGTACTCGGTGACAACTTTTTGTCAACTTTTTGTTTCTGTAACTGAGTTGTTTTCTGAAATTTTGGAATACTTTCCTTATATTCTTCTTTAGGCCTAGTTGTAATGAAAAAGTTGAGTAATCGGTTTATAGTAACCAATACGTGATTATAGGTATGCAAATAAAATGGGCTTTTTTTTTTTTAAGATTTTATTTATTTATTCATGAGAGACACACACGCAGAGAAAGGCAGAGACACAGGCAGAGGGAGAAGCAGACTCCATGCAGGGAGCCTGATGTGGGACTAGATCCTGGGTCTCCAGGATCTCGCCCTGGGCTGAAGGTGGTGCTAAACCGCTGAGCCATCTGGGCTGCCCTAAAAATGGGCTTTATATGACTGATAAATTAAGAAGATACAACATAGTATAGTGGTGTGGCTACAAATTAATATAACTTGAAGACTTCAGAATTGTTTTTGAAAAATGCAAACATTTTAAGCTTAACTATTTTTCTGAGTTCCTAGTTTATGATATTGCTCTAAAGGAGCAATGTAACTTCTGTCTGAAAGGGTAATACATGTGTGCTTTGTCTCTTTGCCATTTAAGATAGAGTTGAGCATATATAAACAGGGAAAAAAAGTCCCCAAAACTAAAAAAATCCTACCATCAACAGAACTCAAAATAACAGCGACTTAAATGAGCTAGAAGTTTACTTCCTGGACAAAAGAAGCCAGAGGTAGGCAGTCTAGGGCTCAAATGACTCTTTCTAAGACATTCATGCCCAGTCTCCCTACATCCTGTTCTGCCAGCCTTGGTGTGAGATCTTTTAGTCTAAGATGGGATCTTGAACTCCTCATCAATAAACTCTGAGCTGGCCACCAACGACACAGACCTGACTGAGTGACATCCTCGTAGCTCGGGCATGTAAATGATGTAGCAAAGGCAAGCTAGCTGTTAGGGGAGGCACTTCGGATATGCACAGACCACCTCCATCCAGACCAGATATCACTGAATCATATAGTTATACATAGTTTCTTTTTTTTTTTTTAATTTTTTATTTATTTATGATAGTCACACACAGAGAGAGAGATAGAGGCGCAGAGACATAGGCAGAGGGAGAAGCAGGCTCCATGCACCGGGAGCCCGATGTGGGATTCGATCCTGGGTCTCCAGGATCGGCCCTGGGCCAAAGGCAGGCGCCAAACTGCTGCGCCACCCGGGGATCCCAGTTATACATAGTTTCAATGGAGTCTGGGAGATAGTCTTGGATGGGAGACAAAAAAAAAAAAAAAAAAAAAGGAATTCTTGTTACCAAAGACTGAGAGACAACTAGCAGACTTTATTTTTTTTTTTTTTTTAAAGATTTTATTTATTTATTCATGAGAGATACAGAGAGAGAGATAGGCAGAGACACAGGCAGAGGGAGAAGCAGGCTCCATGCAGGGAGCCTGATGTGGGACTCGATCCCGGGTCTCCAGGATCGCGCCCTGGGCCAAAGGCAGGCGCTAAACCGCTGCGCCACCCAGGGATCCCCAACTAGCAGACTTTAAAACAATACAATACTCAGTGAAAGTACTAAAAATATATAGTGACTATATAACCTTCTCAAGGCTTTCAGGTTATAAAAATAAGGTATTATTCTATTATTCTATATTACTTATTGGTTGGACACTGTTTTGGTTTTCTTTTTGTTTAAGTATTTCTTTGGCTTTCTCTACCCCCATTGCCTTTTCCAAAACCAGAACTAATCATTCTCTCTTTTCTTCTTACAGGACTTTCCATGATATTTCTGATGATCTGAAATCTTCCGTAGACTGACATGGTTTGCACCACAGTGATTTCTGTAGGAGGTTCAGTCTTGATAGTGAGCCCAGCTCAGCTGTGGCCTTCTGTCCTTTCATCTGTGCCTAGCAAGCAGAGCCCGGGGAAGAAGCCGAACCCTCCTGGCCTTCCATACAGAATACCTGGACAAGAGAGAACTTGCTGTGGGTTGCTTTGCCTTTTAAAGCACAGCTTTAGAGCTCAGATTTGTGGTTTGCTCACTTACTCGATGGCTTGAAAAGTTTCAGTTTATACACTGGTACCATGGCTTGAGATTTCCCACTTTGGTTATCTATATCATTATAATATGTATTTATAAAGTTATTTCAAGAGCCTGAACTACCTGCCGTTAAAAGTATTCACAGCGTCATTTTCTCCTGGTTTAAGAAATCTGTTCTTAAACTTTTCTATGACCGTCACTTTTTAATGAAGAGGGTTTTTCAACTTTTGAATATGTAGTTGCTGGAGCAGGAAAAGGGAGTCTTCCACCCCTCTCCCCCCATGCATGGTCCCCTCCGTAAGTGTAAGGCGGGGTGGCGTATTTGAAGGTCAGCTAGTTGTGTGTTGCAACCATAGGAGACACAGAAAAACAAGCTCTTCCTCCCCTTTCTCCTCCTCCCATCCGCCATTACTCTATTGCCAAATTCCTAAAACTCGGTTGACCACTTTGAAGTAAAATACTTATTACGCTGCTGTTAATGGTAACAGTACAACAGAATTCATGTCTGGTTCAGATTTTCTTTCCAAAGGCCCTGAGTGAAAAATCTCAGGAGTAGCAGTTCTCTGAGTTGTTAAATGTATCCCTGTTTACTTATTTGGAATTATGCCAATTGGTTACTTATTAGCAGTAGAATGTTACATTCAGGTAGTATTTTTCCATCACTTAGCACAGTGCCTTGCACATAAGACTCTAGATGAAGGCGTGTTGAATTATGACTTGTTAAGTCTCCCAGACATCACAATAACCAGCATAGTGCTTTGCATCTTACAAAGTCATTTTGCGCATATTATTTCACAGTCCCTTCCTGGCAGCTTTCATATAGCTTTATATCATTTCATACCACTTCCGTACAGATGGGAAAACTAAGGTTCAGAAAAGTTTAGTAAGATTTTTACCTCAAATCTTTCTGACTCTATAGCCTGCAAACTCTGCTATGCTGTATTATTTCTTCCACAACTGTATACAGTTTTCCCAGTATTTGTCCTATAGTTAAGGACAGGCTGGGGCCAGAACCCAGCTCTTAGCTTGGTCTCCTTCCCACTGTACAAAACAATCATTGGGCGCTTTCTCCATCCCCAGGGGAATAGGAGGAGAAAGCGTTCCTTGAATATCAAAGACTTCCCTTTCAAAAATGCCTAAAAGTAAAAATCATTTTGTTTTCTAAACCATCTGACTGAGAAGCATAGTCAATGATAATTAGCTTAAATTTATTCTGATATTACTTAAGAAATTAACTCCGTATAGGAAAAGAGGCTCCTGTGAGGGTTTTGACTGTTTCTATAGTAGCCTACGTGCAGATCTCTTGTTTTTGTTATCCTTCTACAATTATAATCTGGTATTATACCAAGCGTTCCATTTGACCGCTAATGGACTCCTTTTTTTCCTTAGTCAGTTGTTCAGTTGTTTGTTCAGTAACACATTCATTGAAAGTTGGCCATCTCTGGTTTCCATGCCAACCACTGTACAGGGTGCTGTAGGGGATAGCTCCTAGGAAGGCCCTTTCCCCCCATGTAAATCTTAGATCTTGTGCTTGCTAAAATTATGAATTTTGCATTAAAAGGGTTAAAAAAGAAATCAGGTTTGTTTTTGTTAATTGTATACTGGTAAGTTTATAGCTATAATTGGCACATATCATAAGAGACAACTATTATACATAGTGAGTTTAGTGTGCATATACAAATTATGTTCCTCCAAAGTGTTTTTAGCTGTATAAAGTGATACAACAAAACAAAACAAAAAAACTTGAGCCTAATGTATGACTGTTACTGGTCATAATTATTAGTATAAATATCAGGTTCCTAGGAACTTTGAGCCCTAAGAGAATGGTTTGGAGCTCCAAAATTGGCAGTGATATAATATCACTCGAAAAATCAGGAGCAGAGGTACCTCCAGAGTGCTACACAGTTTTCAGGAGGCCTGAATTGCCCTGCCCCAGTGCTCCAGCAGCTGCGTAAGGACTCAGAAGGCCAACCAGCTGGGGGAGGGGTCCTCAAACAGAGAAACATATTCCCTTAGATAGTGAAGAGGTTTTACACAATTTTCACAGGGCACAGAGATCACGTGGTATGAAAATCAGGGAGTCTCAAGCTCATGTCTCAAAACAGCGTATCCCCACATTCTCAGGATTTATCCCAGAAAGAATACATTTCCCTAGGGACAGACAGTGCATTAATGAAGTAGTGCCAGTAAAAATGGATACAGAAATCCTATCACACAGTCTTACATTTTTATAGCTTTATTAAAGATTAGTTTTAAGTTCACATTCACCATTTCCGTTGTAAATCGAATGGAGGAACGGGAGAAGATAGAAGTCTCTACACAGACGTGCTCCTCTTTTTTCTGAGAATAAAGTATAACGTTTTTATCATAAAACCCATGTCCTATAAATCCTTCTTCCATTCCAAAATCCCTATCACATTCTGTGTTTCTGGAAGTGATCTGTCGCAGTGCCTGAGATACACGTCTTACTTCTGTTTAAATTTGTGAGGACTCCTAACACTCTGTCCTATTAGAGGTAGTTAGCTTGCAGAATTTTCCTGTGCCTTGTGAGACTGGTGTAGATCGACTCTCGACAAGGGGAGGATTACCCAAGAAGTGTTTCTGGAGGCATGCTGTATTTAAACAAACTCAGAGCCTTTGGAAACAGCAGCTTATTCCATTTAAAGTGCTGCTAAGGGGCTTGCAGACAAGGTCTCTGGCTAACCTTGGTCTTCAATACCCATTGTGACCCTACTCGTACCCCTAGTTCCCACACGGGTTGTATTTAGTACTTCAGGATGTATCACTACTGGGCAATAAATACTCAGAAATTCAGGCCATGAAGGGTCAGATTAGAGCAAAAAAAATTTTAGGTGAGCTATCCAGGGCTCTCAACTTCAGGGTTTATAGGAAAAACCCCCTTCAGAACTTCCCATGCTCTAGTCCCGACTGCCAGTTTCCTCTAGGGGGTCTTCTAAGACTCTAAGAAGAGTATTACAGTAGGCATTTCACATTGGAGATGGTCCCTGGCAACAAGTGTGAGTTCCAGCTGAGAGCAAGTACTTTTTTTTTCTTTAATTTTTGTTCTTACACATTTGCCATCAAAATATATTCATTTCATTAATGTATTAAGGACCTGCAAGATAATGTGCTAAAACCAGAGCAGTTATTTTTTGATAGTTTAAAAATAATCGAGAGAATTGTAAATCGAGATGTTCTGTCTACTTGAGTCGTGGAAATTCTGTGCTACAAAGGGCCTTTTTTTTTTTTAAGATTTTATTTATTCATGACAAATAGAGAGAGAGGCAGAGACACAGGCAGAGGGAGAAGCAGGCTCCATGCAGGGAGCCCGACGTGGGAGTCGATCCCGGGTCTCCAGGATCACACGCCCGGCTGAAGGCGGTGCTGAACCGCTGAGCCACTGGGGCTGCCCCAAAGGGCCTTATAATTAGGTGATCCTGTCCTTTTCTAGGGGAGAAAACAAATCTATAGGTAAAATGACTTTTCTAACACATACAGAGCCAGTTAGTAACAGAATTCTGAGTAGAATACAGTTCTTTTTTCTCTTAGCCTGTTGTTCTACTTCTCTTCCCTTTTTTCCCTTATAGTTGAGCAGCTTTTGGAAAAATGTGTTTCTTATAGCAGTAGTTCCAAGGGATGTTATTAGATGTTATAAGAGACAAAAGTGTGCATGGGGGAAGGGGACTCTGTGGTCAATTAAAATTGAGGAATGCTGAGATTGTTTCCTTTCTGTAGGACTTCTAAGAGTTTTTAGCGTGCTGTTACATATTGTGAATTTATGAGGGGACAAAGACTGTGTTTACTAGACTTATTTGACCTTACACTGCAACCCCCCGTCCCCTGCCCCCATCCTTTTAGTAGAGCTTCTCCAAGGACTATTGGTCCTTTGGGAAACATGGCTCTTGAGTAAGTTTACAGCTCTTTTAGGAGACATCCTTAATGGAAATTCTGAATGGTAAATCTATTACTACAGTACCACATAAACTATAATAAATCTCAAAGGTTAGTGAGATACCAGAAAGAAAACATATTTGCCATTCAGAGCTATACGTAAAGTATAGAGATTCTTTTCCACCTATGGTGTGTAAAATCAGTATTTGTGTTTAGTTCTGCAAGTTTTTCAAGGATCTGTTAATGTGCAAATACAGTGGTGATCTATTGATAATACATTTTAATAATGCCTTTGTATGTCACTCTTTTGTTTTCAGACTGCTTTCATAACAACCTTGTGAGATAGGCAGGTGTTAAGTATTATCAAATGAGGCACTGGAGGCTCAGAAAGGTTTTTTTGTGATTTTTCCTGTAAGTTTATACCATAAAGTGATGGAGCCAGAATTCAGTTGCAGGACTTCTGACTCCAAGTCCAGAGTTCTTTACTCCACACCTGGTTTCTTATTTTTCTTCTGGCTTTATATCTTACAATTGAAAGGTGTGGAAGGCGAATCTTAAAGTAGTATCATTTTGGCCTACTATCAAATCCTATTTCTTTTTTATTGCAGTGACCCAGAAAGTGTAACTCTCATTAGAGCTATCCCAAAGAAAACCTTTCTTTTGTCTTTTGCAGTGCCACTTGTTTGGGTGACTAAATACGTTTCAAATACCATTTGATTCGAAAACCAAGCTTGGATACATAGTTGTAATTGCTTATGTAACTTTTGGAAAAGATATCCTCTGCATTCTCAGGCAAAGTAGAGCTGGTTTGAAAGCGAAAAAGTTTATTCAAATACAACAGTACATATTCTTTATTCTCACACAGATGCTACTTAGCTTTAACTTGCTTTGACAACCTTCTAATGTAACCTCTTTGTAAATGTGAAATATTTATATTTTGAAATAAAATTACTAGTGTTGAATGAATGAGGTGCTAAACTTAGTCTCATTTCTGTTGAGAAATTTGACCTTCAGTGGGGTGAAACTTTCACGAATACATCCGTCTCCTAGGCCTTCTATACTTTCCAGTGCCTGCGCTGAATTTTTATGTAATATAGGCAGCTTACATAAAAGAACATGTGTCCAGAGAGTGGATGTGGGCACCTTAAAAAGGTAAAAAGTTCCAGGACTGAAGCTGGAGCCCTCAGAGCACAGAGGAAGGTAGCCTTGTGTGTAGCCAAGGAAATGGTAAGGTGAGTGGCTGGGGAGTAAGAATACAAGAAAAAGAAAGCTGGTTAAGGGAACTGCACATTTTGAATGAAGAAAAGTCTACATAATGTCTGTCTTCAATAGCAAAGATACCTGTGCAGCACTGGCAGACGGAGCTGAACCCCAAGTGGGAATACTTGAAGCACATCTCACAAGCTCGGCAAAGAGCCTCTGACACCTGGAGTTGGTGGTATTGAGCTCATCAATCTGACACGGATGGAGAAATGATCTGGGTAAAAGTGGAGGGGTGGACTCGCCAGCCTCAGATTTTCTACTCTGCTAGTCGCTTATTGGCAGATATGGTAATTCACAAATATTTCTCCATGTCCCTCAGTACTTAAGCCAAGGATCCCCTCACAGGGTGGTGTGTGTTTCTAACAACCTTTTGGCTTTGCTTCTGGAACTCCTGGGGAAAGGGGGTGGTGTGTTCTCCCTCCCATCTGATCATGTCCGGGCTTCCTGGTTCTTAGCCTTACTGTTAAGTGGTTTAGTGAGAAATGTATACTAACGATCTTCTCAATCGATAAACAGCCTTTAGGAAACTACTCTGTGCTAGGCCCTAGGGGAGAAGCAAGCCTGAAAAGTAGTCTTAGGGGCGCCTGGGTAGCTCAGTCAGTTAGGAAGCTGACTCTTGATTTTAGCTGAAGTCTTGATCTTCGGGTCATGAGTTCAACCCCCCTTTGGGGAAGCTTTTCCATATGCCCTAGTTAATTTCCTTTTAAACACTAATTTTGGACAGTAGCCTAAAACATACCCAAATCACTGCCTCGTTGCTACGAACCCAGACGTACTCCTTAAGGCTGCATTACCAAATGTTTCATTCTCGATCCAGCCCAAATTGTGAGAAAGATAGGGTCAGAAGAGGAGGAGGGGGAAATGGGACCTACAGGAGGAGCTCCAGAAAGACCCTTTTTCGGTAGAATAACAGCGTCAGGGTAAAAGACCCTTCCGGCAGACTTGACTGTGGTTCTGCTCCACCAGTTGGCTCAGCTTCCAGAAATCCTCGCGGGAACTCGGGAGTTAAGACGAGTCACCTACCAGGAGGACGAAAAGCGTTGCTGGTGGCAGGTGTCTGCTGTGGCGGGTCCTGGCGGGGACCAGATGGAGCGGGGATGCGGGGCGGACCCCAGACCTGAGCGCGTGGGGGCGTGGCCCGGACGGGGGCGGGGCCAGTCCGGGGGCGTGGCCCGGGCGGGGGCGGGGCCCGGGCGGGGGCGGGGCCTCGGGCGGCGCGGTTCCCCGGCGGCGGCCGCGGGCGTGCAGCCTGGCGGGCGGCGGCCCCGCAGTGGCGCGGCGTCCCGGCTGCGCGACGGGCCGAGGGCCATGGCCGCCTCCTCGGGCCCGGCCGGCGTTGGCGGCGCCGGCCCGTCGGGCTTCGCCTTCGACTCGGGACTCGAGATCAAAACTCGTTCGGTGGAGCAGACTCTGCTCCCGCTGGTCTCTCAGGTAAAGCGGCGCCCGGCGCGGCCCCTCGTCTCCCTGCGGCCGCGGCCCGCGATGGCGGCGCCCGCTCGCACGGCCCGGGGCCCGGGGCCCGGCGGGGAGGCAGCCCTGCCCTGCCCTGCCCCACACTCCGCAGCACGACCGCGGCGTCGGGTCGGGCCGCCCGGCGGGGGCCTGGGGGCCGGCCTCGGCGGCGGTGGCGGCGGCGGCGGTCTCGACCCTCCGAGGTCCCGCGAGGCCGGGGGGCTGCGCGGCGGCGGCGGAGACGGGCGGGGGCCCGGTGCCGCCCCGAGGGCCCCGCGGGCAGGTGCGCCTCCCGGCCTGCCCCGCGCCACCCGCGTCGGGATGCGCCCCCGGCCCCCCGGGTCCCCCCGGCCCCCCTGGTCCTCCCGGCCCCCTCGACCCCCTCGACCCCCCCGGCCCCCGGCTCCCCCGGTCCCCCCGGCTCCCCCGCCCTCCCCGACCCCAGGTGCCCCCGGTCCCCCCGCCCCCTCCGACCCCCGTTCCCCAGCCCCCAGCCCCCTTGGACCCCCGATCCCCGGTCCCCCTGGCCCCTCCCAGTCTCCAGTCCCCCCGGTACCCCCGGGCCCCCCCCCCGGTTCCCGCAGCCCCCGACCCCCGTCCCCGGTCCTCCCAGACCCCCCCGGCCCCCTTGGCCCCCCCGATGCCCGGTCTTCCCGGCCCCCGATCCCCCCGGGCTCCCCCGGCCCCCGGTGCCCCCAGTCCCCGGTCGCCCCGCCCCCTCCGACCCCAGGTCCCCAGCCTCAGCCCCCTTGGACCCCCGATCCCCGCTCCCCCAGCCCCCCCGCCCCCCCCGCTCCCCCCGAGCCTCCCAGCTCCCCCGACCCCCCCCGACCCCCGGTCTCCCCGGTCCCCCCCCGGCCCCCTTGGCCCCCCCGGCCCCCCGGTCCCCTGGTCCCCCCGGCCCCCCCGGCCCCAGCGCGGGCTCCCCCGAGGCAGACAGGACCCTGCGGAGCCCACACGCCGGCTGCTGGCCACTCGGGCCGGGGCGTTCGTGCGGGTGTCCGGGCCCAGCGCGCTGTCCCCGAGGCCTTTGTCCCTGTGCCCTGCGCGTGTCGGCTCGCTGGGCGCCGGTGCACCCCGGGCCACCCTGCCCGCCCGCGCCCGCGCCCGCGCCCGCGCCCCCGCCCCCGCCCGTAACCTGCCGCCCGCTTCAGGCGGCTTTTGTGTGGCCTCGGCAGAGCGCCGCGAAGCCCGCGTCTCGGTGCGTCCGGATGCGCGTCTTTCTGCCGGGTCCCGTCCGGGATGCCTGCTTTATTGTATTTGTTGGTCATGACAGAAGCCTGGAATCAGCTAATTGGCCGCGCGGAGTCTTGGAGAAGTTTTTGTTACAGAAGTTCTACGCAGCCCGCGGGCTGGAATTCCTCGCCCCGCTGCGCCGCGACGTGCCAGCCCTGTGGGGAGTGGAGGATTCGGGGCCTGCAGCGCGTTGGCGACTGTGACTCACAGCCAGATTGTAATGTCTTGATGACTCACGCTAGTGTTGCCAAGACTTTAGAGGTAGAAGGTATCTTAAAGGTTATCTGACTCTAAATTGAAAAAATTCTTTCCTCCGGCATCCTTACACCTGGTCGCCAGTCTCCTGCTTAAACATGTTCAGTGATGGGGAGCCCGTAGCGGTTGCGCAGAATTTACATGTTATCTCTTCTCCATCCCAGCCCTGCAAATATTTGGAAATAGCAGTGACACATGTCCCTGGATTCCCGTTATGCTGATTAAATAAACAGCTACTTTTCTCCTTTCTTCTTTTCTTTTCTTTCTTTTTACCTGTGCTCACTGTAGCTTTGCTAACAGAACAGTGAATGAATACCTGACACTACCACCCCTCCTTCCCTTCCATGTCTGATACAGTCACTGACCAGGGGAAAGGAGTACTAGGATCACTCAATAATCTGATCAGGACAATCTGCCCCGTCCTCCTCCCTCAAAAGAATGCCACCAATACAACCACAACCCAGAATGAGAAATACTGGAGTAGTTTAAAGAGTGATAAGAGAGTGGTGGAGTTCAACTTGACAGTATATATATATATATATATTTTTTTTTTTTTACAGTATTTTCTCCATTTATTTAACAAGATGTGTGTTGCTTACTATATTTTAGGGCATGGTCTAAGCACTTTATAAATATTAACTCCTTTAATTCTCATAACAATCTTATGAGGTAGATATGTGTTTATTCTCATTATATGGAAGAGGAAACTGAGGAATAGGGAGGTTAAGTAACTTATCCTGGGACTTTGAACTGCGTCAAGTTAGCATTTGAACCCAGGCATCCTGATTCCAGATTCTGTACTCTAAGTTACACCGTATGCTGTGTTCTCTCTAGAGATTAGAAGCAGTGATGAGGTCAGCTAGTAGTAGGTACAGAGAAGAGAGTCCACAATGGAAAACCAAGGTGGAAAGTAGTTGTAATCTGGAGAAATGGCAACTTTTCAGTTTCACTGCTAAAAATGTATCAGTCCTACAGTTTTGCATTGTGTAATTCTGGGATAAAAGAGGGTGGAGTGGAGGAGGAAATGTGTGCATCTGTGAATTGCTGCTGAGAGTTAACTAGAGGCCAGTGCTAAAGGGGAAAAATGTCAGTTTTTTTTTTTTTCTTCCTTGTTAAAGATTCATTCAGGGTCATAGCTGAGATTCTGCATCCCACATGTTATATATCCACACACAATACCATAACTGCTGTTCCTAATGATTGACTGTACTCAACAAGTAAAAGTTGACTTTGCTTAAAACTGCAGTTTTCTAGAAAATTCATGTCCAGAAGACTCATTTTTTAGGGATTATGCATTATCCAATTCCTGTTTCACCATTTTATCCACAAGAATATTTTAAGTAAGCATTTATTGTGTACTTACTACCTAGTCCTTGAGGGACCTGTAGTCAAGTTGGGCGACAGACATATAAAAATTAGCAAATGCTGAGTGTCAAATGAATAACATCAATAGTAAATGCTCTAAGAGGTCAGAGAAGGCTTGGATGAGTCAGGTATGATGTCGTAAAGGAGACAGGGTCTTGAGGGAGCAAGTAAGACTAGCATCATAAAACTTAGTAAATTTTAAGCAGGTATCATAAAACCTCTTCTGACTCTGTAAGTAAGACTCTGGCCTTATTCTAGGAATGCAAGGTTGAGTTAAATTTAGACAAATGTGTATTATTTTCTGCATTCACATATTACAAAAGATACATGTTCTTATCAGTAGATGCAGAAGACGCGTTCAATTAAATCCAAATTACAGTCATGATAAAAAACACTTAGCAAACTAGTAGTGAAAGAGAACTTCCTTAACCTGATAAAGATTATCTATAGAAAACCTACAGTTAACATCATAGCAACTAGTCAGATTTAAAACAAACATTTCCTGGGACGCCTGGGTGGCTCAGTCTATTAGGCATCCAACTCTTGATTTCGGCTCAGGTCATGGCCTTGGGGCTTTGGGATCAAGCCCCTAGTTGGGCTCCATGTTCAGCAGGGAGGCTGCTTATACTCTTTCTCCCCCTCTTCCCCTGTATTCTCTTCTCTCTCTCTCAAATAAATAGGTAAATCTTAAAAAGCAAAGCAAAACATCTCTTTTAAAACCAGAAACAAGAGGAGGGATATATGCTATTCCAGCTTTTACTCAACATTGTACTGGAAATCCTAGCCAGTGCAATGAGACAAGTAGTGGAAGGTGTAAAGATAGAGAAGTAAAAATCAAAACTCTTAAGAGTCCACAGATAAATCATAAAAACTAGGAGGTTGGGATCCCTGGGTGGCGCAGCGGTTTGGCGCCTGCCTTTGGCCCAGGGCGCGATCCTGGAGATCCGGGATTGAATCCCACATCGGGCTGCCGGTGCATGGAGCCTGCTTCTCCCTCTGCCTATGTCTCTGCCTCTTTCTCTCTCTCTCTCTATCATAAATAAATAAAAAAAATTAAAAAAATAAAATAAAAAACTAGGAGGTTTAGTAAGTTCACTGAATGTAGCATACTAAAGTCAACTGCATCCATCTACATTAGTAAAAAACAACAGAAAAGTAATTCTAAAAAAATACCAGTTAAAATAAAAATGACAGCAAAAAAATGAAGTTCCTAGGAGTATATACATAGTAAAAGAGATGCCAAATTTTGTGAAAAGAATTTTTAATTTTATATTTTTTAAAGATTTTATTTTTAAGCAATTTCTACACCCAATGTAGAGCTCAAACTCATAAGCCCAAGATCAAGAGTTGCATGTTCTACATACTGAGCCAGCCAGGTGCCCTAAGAATTTTAAAAAGTTATTGAAAGCCGAAGTAGATATAGATAAATGGAGTTGAAGTACTATATTCATGACTAGATTGACTCAATATTATAGACACATCAATTTTCCCTATTAATCTATAAGTGTAATGCAATTCCAATGAAAATTTCAACAGGGTTTTTTGAGTAGAATTTGATAAAAGGCAATTATAATTTCATATAATTATATGAAAGAGCAAAGAGCCAAGAATAGCCAGATGAGAAACAAAGTGGGAAGATTTCAAGACACTATCAAGCTATCATAATTAAGGCAATAGACCAGTGAAAGGGAACAGAGAGCCTAGATACAGATCTACACATATGTGGAAACTTGATAACTCACATAATTGGCACTGCTAGTTAGTAAGGAAAAGAAAACTTTTTAAAAATGGGGCTGAGACAATTGTTATCTAATAGTCACATATGAAATTGGATCTCTGTCTCACAGCATATACAAAAATCAATTCCAGATAGGTTGAGGACATCAATAAGAAAGCAAAAATGTGTAACACTTTCAGGGGAAAAATAATGGGCAATATCTTCACCACCTCATGGTGGGAAGTGAATTTTTAATACTTTGAAAGTAAAAACTCTAAGCAAAAATTGCTAAATTTGACTCCATTAGAATGAAGAACCTCTGTCAAAATTGAAGGGACAAGCCATAAAGTGGAGAATATGATTTTTTTTGGTTTTATTAAATTCATTTATTATTTTTTTAATAATA